GAATCTGGTATATTTCCAGGCCGTTGTACTTCATACTGACGATAATACTGTATGGGCTTCAGAGCCAACATGGCGAAGTGACATGTACAGTTTCATGTTGGACTTGAGAGCCCGCCTCTTGATTGAAACCGGAAATGCAATTCAGGAAATGATCGGGTTTGTTTTTAAATACACTCAACTAGACAAGTAAAGCGTGTTTGTCATTAATAAGGAAATAAAACAATGGTTTGTGAAAAATGTGAGTATCCAAATATTTTTTTATAGTTCATGGATATGCATTTAAACGATGCTATGTAGGAATTTAATTATAGATAGCTAACCTGATTAATGGTGATACAAGTTATCTAGTTACAGGCAAAATAGCTTGCACTTACTGTTCGCAAATATTTCACCGGTAATATTTTGAATAGGTGTTAGTGTTGTAAGCTGTGCCGTATAAATCTTATGCATTAGCCAAACTATGATAGTTTACGTGCGTTTTAATAGGTGAAAAGAAACTCGGCCGAGTCATCACTCCAGATACATGGAAGGACGGTGCTCGGAACACAACAGGTAATGTTATTGATGTCAAGCATGGAAAGTTAAGATACACAGCGGTCATACTTTTTCGCTAAACCTGTAACCGGAGGGTATTCCATGAAGCAGAATTTCTCAGTTAGCTGGGTTAACTTAGAAGTCATGACTGTCCAATAAGAGTTTGGGTAAAGAGCATTCCTATTGGGCAATCATGACTTCTAGCTTAAGTTAGCCTAGCTTCCTGAGAAATCTTGCTTCATGGAACACCCCCCAGCTTTTCACAGACCATGGCATGTTCCACAAAACATGATTTCTCAATTAGCTGGATAATTTAAGCCAGAAGTCCTGATAGTCCAATATTTATTTATTTATTTATTTGTGATTATTTGTCATTGTTGACACACCACAGCACACAGTGCACAACAACAAAATGTGTCCTCTGCATTTAACCCATATGTGACTTTTCGTGACATAGCAGGGGGCAGCTAATTCAGCGCCCGGGGAGCAGTGCTTGGGGGCGGTACCTTGCTCGGGGTACCTCAGTGGTGTCTTGCTGGTCGGGGATTTGAACCTGCAATCTTCCGATTACGAGTGCGCTTCCCTAACCATTAATAAGAGCTTAGGCAAGCAGCATTCCTATTGGACAGTCCTATTGAACCTCTGGGTTTTTACTTTTCAGAAAGTGGTGGGCGCAAGCTGAATGAAAACAAAGCCCTGACATCCAAAAAGGGAAGGTATGATTCTGTCATAGTTTCCTTCTCTGAGTTGACACTGCACTTCTGAGTCATTGACATGGGTGTGTTTGTACCCATTAACTGCTGACAGGTTTGACCCTTATGGGAAGTCTCGATTTGCCACGTGTCGGATTTGCAAGAGTTCTGTGCATCAGCCGGGCTCAAATTATTGCCAGGGATGTGCCTACAAGAAAGGTAAATGAGTCTCTAATATTAATAGTATCGTGATGGTGCTGCATCAGCATGACTTTTGAGGCTGTGAGTGGTGAATGAAGATAATTCTCCATTTATTTTCTTTCACCATGTTCTTTTAATGTGTCTGTTGGCAGGAATATGTGCCATGTGTGGAAAGAAGGTACTGGACACCAAGAACTATAAGCAGACATCTGTGTAACTGCCCAGCGGTGTAGCTTCTCTTGTGCTCTGTGTGTGCCTGATCTCTCGCCCAGGGAAAACACCAGTTTCACCAGATTTGCAGTGGTCTGCCACCAGCTGCATAGCTCCTTTATGATAAGGGCCCCGATGACTGATCACACAGAAGCCAATGCAGGGTGCTGCCACATTCACCAGTGAATTAACAGTTAACAGTTTATAGATAGTGTTGAGTGTTTTTGTGCCTATAACTGTGCAGAGATTAGAACTATCATGGGAGTATCATCCTTTGAAGCAATACAAAGACTTAAACTGTTTAATGTCACAAATATGACAATTTGTTATCCCTGCTCGTATTTTATTTTACAGTGAATATTATGTAAGTATGCAAAATGGTATATATATTTTAATCATCTTATGCTGATCAGTAGACATCATCTCTAGAATTTTGAATGGATTTGACTGCGATTTACCTGCATGAGTATAATAGGGACTGGTTGGAGAGATCTTAATAGACAGAGGGTCGATCCCATATTCTGTTCATAAACGTTTTGTCCCCCACCCTTATGAAACCCTCTGCGTAAAGCACAGTGCCATTCGCAGCCAATGCAGCTGACGTGTAGAACCATTGCTGTCCAGTTGACGTGGGTCTGCAGCCTGGGAGACTTTTCAGACTGGAGCCTGTCACTGGGAAGGTCAGCGTCTCCAGGCAGAGATGTACATTTTGACATTTAAATACCATTTGTGCCCTGAAGCCACACAAGTGTTTCTCAGTATTCTGTTTATGTATTTCTTTTACTCCAGACTACTCATTAGTTTAGAGAATCTTGATTGAGGCTTATGATAGAATAATATAAATGTAATTTTACACATTTGCCTGTTTCTTAAGCATGTGTTTTACTCTGAAATTAATTGTTTATGAGCGGTTTATGGAGTAGAATTTCCATGAATAGGGGTAAGTCATATCTAATGGATGGACAAACTGGTCTGCATGCTATGTGTGGAAAAGGCTCAGGAGCCTGTGGAGATGCACATGTTTGGACAAGCTAGCATGTATTCATTAATCTTCCATTGACAGTCAGACTGTTCTTTTAGATGCAGTGTGTCATTGTAGATTTTAGATAAGGGTGTATGCTTGAATGATACTGGAAGCAATGACTGGAATAAAGAAAGAATGAACGATGAAACATCCGTGTCTGCAGACTATTTTCGTAAGTAGTAATTGTTTTTATATGAGTTAATTACGTGCTGGTGTCAGGAAGCTATTATGTTATGGCCATGTTCGGGAAATGCTCACCAGGAAATCAAGACATGGGGCAGGACAGCCTAACTGGCTTATAGTCAAAGAATTTGGTAAGTCACTTGGGACAAATTGACTCCGGTTGTGCCGTGAAAATTAGGGCTGACATTTAGCTTTTCCAGGCAGCCAGTACTTTAGTAATGGTGTTGTGCTAGTTGTAGTTAGCAGGGTTATTAATTATTGTTAAAGAAAACTAAAAAATATAAGAAAAGGTTTTCATAAAATGAATGATATAGAGCTAAACGGTAACTACAAATATTTCTTCCAAAACATAAAAAACACAATCTTTTAAGTATAGTTGTTAAATAACATTTAAATAAAGTATTGATTTGTTTTCTTTCCTCCTTGGTGGAAATTGTCTAAGTCTTTAGATGACTTAGTGATACCTGGAACATGTTTTGCCAATTTTGAGGACATTAGTGCACTGTGTATTCATGTAGGATTCTCTAAGGATCAAACACGTGATACAGCTCTGCAACTTCAGTTTATCCTTAGAAATAAAATCACTCAAACTGAAACAAAAATACATAAAATATTCTAAACAAAAACTAATTAAAACCCACATTGAAAAATATTTAAAACTACACTGTATTTCAAATGAAAATTGAAAATATTAAATATTAAAATAAAACTATAGTGACACTGAGAGTCTCACAGAGGAATACTTAATTTTTTTTATGAATTTGAGCTTTATATTCCCCCAGTACTTCAAAAGCACGGAGTACTGACTGCTAATGTGGCTGCTTAACAGAATAAAAATATGAACTTGTAACTCATTATAGCACAGGTGTCAGACTCCAGTCCTGGGGGGCCGGAGTCCTGCACATTTTTGGGTTTCCCCTCATTTAACACACCTGATTCAACTTCTTGTGCTAATTACCACACAGCTCTTGAGCTGAATCATTTGCGGTGGAACAGGGAAAGAACTAAAGCTACACAGGGCTGTGGCCCCCCAGGACTGCAGTTTGACACCCCTGCATTATAGACAATGTTCTTTAACATATCAGAAGCATAGTAATCTATCCTTTCATGTAAACACACACAATACAAAATAATAAGGCACAAGGCTTGGTAACTTAAAATTTTATTTAGTTCTTAAGAAACATTGGTACAATTCGTCATACTGTAAATGAGTGACAAGTTAATGCGGTGGCACAAGTGATCCTGGGCCTACCCATTCACTGTTCACAGCAAGTGATACGGTATGACAAAACTATTGGGTCTCACAGGTATGTGTGTGCGTGGTTAGATCAATCAGAGGAAATGTGCTGGTGAGAGGCAAAGAGATTTTTCTTGCTCTTTGTTCATTTGGTTTTAGCCATTTAAAAACTCACAAAAAATATGAAGTTCAGTCTGTAGTGTGATTTTGTCACGAAATGAATTGTCACGGGATTGGCCCACCTGATTTTCTGCTGGCCCACCCAGTGTTCTGGCACTGCTATTGGTGATAGGCTAATGTCAACATCCAATCCAGCCTTTACTGTGATGTTTAAGAAAAAAAACCTACAGAATGTGTGTCAGAAATTAACAAGTTGTGCTTCCCCCCTTACAGATTACTTACAGTATTCTGATGTGGAGGTACACATAAAAAAATTCTGGTTCATAAATATACCGCAGATTTACATATGTGCCCGAAAGCAGACCAAGGTACTCAAAAAAGTTAGTCTTGTTTCACAGTGAATGCAAATACCATGAGATATTTCACTCTCTACTACAGTGTTTCCCCCAGACAGTCCACATTTTCGCTCCCTCCTAGCTCCCTGTCAGACAGTCCACATTTTCGCTCCCTCCCAGGTCCCTGCCAGACAGTCCACGTTTTCGCTCCCTCCTAGCTCCCTGTCAGACAGTTCTTGTTTTCTCTCTCTCCTAGCTCCCTGCCAGACAGTCCACATTTTTGCTCCCTTCCAGCTCCCTGCCAGACAGTCCACGTTTTCGCTCCTTCCCAGCTCCCTGCCACAGTCCACGTTTTCGCTCCCTCCTAGCTCCCTGCCAAACAGTCCATGTTTTCGCTCCCTCCCAGCTCCCTGCCAAACAGTCCATGTTTTCTCTCCCTCCCAGCTCCTTGCCAGCCAGTCCACGTTTTCGCTCTCTCCTAGCTCCCTGCCAGACAGTCCACATTTTCTCTCCCTCCCAGCTCCCTGCCAGACAGTATATTTTTGCAAAAATGTGGACTATCAGGGTCCCCAAGGACCAGGTTGGGAAAAACTGCTCTACCAGATGTTGTTAAACCCCGAGTATCAGCTGTGATTTGATTTGTAACTCGTGATTGTGATTTATGACTGACAACAGACCCTACATGTAGGGCTTTTTTATCAGCACCAGAACAAAAAAGAAAACACTAGCAGGACCCTGACCTCCAAACAGATGGTTTGTTGACTTGATCACTGGGGAGAGAGGAAATATGGCCTGGGTGACCTAGGCAACTGTGAAGAGGGTACTGCTAGCGTCTGAGGGTCGGTTGAGGTAGAAGATGTTTATTTGCTTTTGACCAGAGCCAGGAACTCCTCGCGAGTCTTGTGGTCCTCCCGGAAGATGCCCAGCATGGTGCTGGTGACCGTCTGGCTGTTTATCTTCTGCACACCCCGCATGATCATGCACATATGACTGCAAGACACAGAGAGGCAAGTATGCCATTAGCATGAGGTGACGAGTTACGTCCAGCTGTGGTTGCATCTGCACCAGTGCAATATAGCGGACCGCAATATAACACTCACACTGCTTCAATGATCACCACCACTCCAGTCGGCTGCAGCGCCTCTGAAATAGCCGTCGCGATCTGCTTGGTCAGGCGCTCCTGGACTGTGGGGCACATGTCAAGCCAATCATGAAGCTGGTAAGGCCCGGAACACGGCAGCTTGTTAAAAGAAGAGCATGGCAGAAACAAATGGGGTACTAGGAAATGGTGACCAAAGGCAACGTGGCAGAAGAGAGCGATTCAGCCTGCGAACATGGAGGGCAAACCTGCTGAGCAGGAAATGTACGGCAATGGGGCATTATGAAGGAACCACGAGGTTACCTTGAAGTCTCCGGCTGTAGATCTCAACAATTCTGAAAGAAAACACAAGAAAAGAATGAAAATGAGTTTTAAAAAAATCATTTATTACAAAAAATTAAACATTCTGGGAAAGAAAGTCTTTGAAATTAATGAGGTGTTTTTGAATGTTACATTGTACTCAAATTTGCTTTATAGCAGAAATAACAATTTCAAAATGGATTTTACAGACAGTAAATATAGTTCACGTTCAGGCATGAGGAGTAAGCCTCTTGAAATCGACGTGACCCTTGAGCTGAGCATGACTAACACCATGGATTCCAGCAATGTTGGAGGAAAAAGTGACTGTCAATTAAGGGTTGTGGAAGGTTGTCTTGATTAGTGCCCTTCCAAAAAGACATGCTTTGGCTTAGTGAGGTTGGGATGGGGGCATCCTGGTGGCCCATGGGCCCAGAGAGAGGGAGCCTCTTTGGAGAGCAGCAATAGAGGATTTCCTTAGGGCTGAGAGCCAGGCCAGCATGTATTCCACGATGGTGGTTTTATTCCTAAGCTTCCAAGTCAATTGATTGAAACACCACCACCCATTTCTCACTACATCTCTACCAGTGGAATAGCCCAGCATGGTCAGACACGGGAGGCTTGGGCTGTTCTCACACTCTGCTGCTTGCTCTCTGCGTTTTCATGAACTTATGACTTCATATGGATAACTTTTGCATTTTGTGGGGGCTCACCTTGCCAGTTTGCTTAAGCCAACCACCTTCTTGTTTGGAAGATACCCAATGTGGACCTGTGGGATTAGACAGCATCTGAAATGAAGGGCTTGTACAGTATCAAACTCTCCAGTTATCCTCCATATAACAAATTCCATGATAAACTGTACAGACGCCGCAATCTTGAAACACAAAACTGAAGCATCATAGAAAGAAAATTCCATGGATTGCTGTATTATATACATGTGTGTATTCTAGCTGCAACAATGAGATAATCTCAGTGATGAAGAATCAGATTAAATGAAGCAGGAAAGACCATCAGAGTGTGAAGTGATAACAAATGAATGCTTGTATAACATATAGTCGACTCTTTTACTTGAACAAGATGAACACTACCAAGCTGTTCGGTGGAAGAGGGAAGTCACAGAGAAATATTTTTATTTTATAACAAACAATTGGCCATCTAAATAAATATGCTGAGCTGTAGCTGTGTTAATTCCTGTGGTCTGTTTTAGTGGAAACAAGGGCAGCAGTAAGAAAAAACTAAATCAATTCATATTTCTCTGTACCAGTAAACCGCAATCCATTTCCTTGTTCTGCTAGACTGACTGCCTTGCACCTCTGTCATTCCTGTCCATTTTTTAATTGAATCCACCCCTTTGCCTACATACCTTGCCAAAGAAGGGCACTAGGTGATGCTCACACAAAGAGAACATATCGATGTCCTTCACGATCACCATCTCATCGTGGTCCTCATCAAATATGGCGTCGTTCAGAATGTCTATGAGGAGACATGGAACGGCATGGATCACTGTGAGTTTGGTGTCAGGGCACACATTTTCTACTAACTGGTTCTCACATGATTTATACAGCAGGGTTTCCCAGTTCCGGTCCTGTAGAGCCAGTCTGCAACACAGTTTGCAGTTTTCCCTGCTCAAACACACCTACTAAACCTGGCAATTAGCTGGTGAGCTGAATAAGGTGTGTTTGAGCAGGAAAATCTGCAAACTGTGTCACAGACTAACACTGCAGGACCGGAATTGGGGAACCCTGCTGTTGAACATGTGAGATCCTGAATCTCAAAATCAGAGTCAGATTTACTGGCCAAGTGTTAACATACAAAAGGAATTTAGTTCCGGCCTGATGGCATCTCTCAAGTTAGACAGACAATACACAGACATTAATTATATAATTTACCCACAATACATAATATACAAGGCATGTACAGGTTACATACAAGACAAGTCCCAGCAAAAAGCAGGAGGTATGGGAAAAAGATTGTACAATACAGTATTTTTAAGTGTGAGACAGGGTGTAAAGACAAGAGTAGCGATGACAATAGTTTCATTCCACCCTGAACATCCCCTGTGAACAATCCACCCTCTTGTCTTTTCTCTTTATTACATATTTATCGCCATTTGACAGGTAATCTCATGCTGGGATTCGCAGTTATTGATTATAGTTTAATAAAGTTAACCCTGTTGTCTGTAAAAATATTCATCCGCTTGTTTGAAGAATAGACAATGGAGATCTATTACGATGAATTGTTTACTAGAAGGAAATAAATGTATGACCTGATTACAGCTTCTTTGTTGCAGTGCCGGTAGAACGGCTTTTTCCTGCTTTAAAATAAACTGGGTCTGGATTACATCCACCCTGCTTGGATGTAAAGCGGATTATTAAAAACTGTTAAAAGATAGTAGCGAATTTATAACTTTTTTCTCGTACGTCGGGCTAATACCGCTCTGAGCTGTCATCGGTCACGGCGCTTACCGTACACGGATTCGTGGTAACCCTTAGTAAGAAACTGCATCGCTTTGGCTGCTCGGGCCGGCGTTCGCAGAAGCCCCTGGCGGTCGGTGTCCTCCCCTATCCCCCGGAGGATGGTAGCGTAGGCAGCCTCCAGCACCGGTAGCCTGGACTCATCCTCCGACTCCTTGCGAGACGTCTCTTGGTTGCGTTGCACCGCGGCTTTTTTCGAGTTTACCGAGAGCTCGGTGAACTCTTTCAAGCACTGAAGATCGGTGACAAGCTTAGAATTGCCTAACCCATTCATTCCCGTATATGCCCGGTATTCCATTTTATTTTAAGTTACGACTGCTTTTTTTTTGTAAAACAAGAGGTAATTACAATATGGATATAGGTGAGGTCAAAGCTGCTCTCTAGCGCTACTTTATTAAACTGTGCCGTAAGTGCTCAGTGCGCTCAGTGCTGCCGTTCCCCTTCCAACTGCCGTATTTATAGGCCAACAAGTTATGCAATCTTGGACAATTTGCTTGAATAATTTCGTCATCCGTGCCAGCTTTGTATTTTTGAAGTGGCATCAAGCACTTACAGTTGTCATAGTATATTATATAGGCATATCTAATAAAAATGAAAAACACAAGGGCTAAACGAAATGATGTGGTAAATTGATTTAGAAATCCCATACTTTCATTTTGAACTGGCAGGAGATTATTACGATCATGATGAATATTATCAAGATTATGATTATGACTGTGATTATTATCATTGCATGCTTAGAATGGTGGCTCGGTGGTTAGCACTATTGCTTCGCACCTACAGGGCTGTCGGTGTGATTCCCAACTCCTCCTGTGTATGCAGTTTGCATGTTCTCCCCTCCTCATGTGGGTTTCTGCTGGGTACTTTGTTTTTCAAACACATATAGTGTATGTTTGGCTATGCGCCTTGAGATGGATATTGCATATTTATTAATTTATTATAAAATATTTGATAGCTATTATACAAGAAAAAATAATACTCCACCTACATGGTGGCATTTCGTTTCTGTCACAGACTCGGGGCATGGCACAGGCAAGAAAAAAGGAGGTGACAATCCACTGTACTAGGGTGAATTCACGGGCGATTACGTCACCCACGTGGCATTTATTATAATATATAATATATTATAATATTCTGGGAAGTTGTAATTGTGGATTAATTTTGATCACGTGTGGACTGATCATCCTGAAATTCAGATCAATCGTCCATGATTCACCCCGAATGTTACTAGACTGCACGAACACATTATTTACCGATCCCCTGTAAAAAAACCCTATTTCGCCATAAATTACTTGGGCTCATAAAAGAAGCCAAGATGCTAATCTGGGCCATTAGATCGGCATGCAGAATGCTTATCTTGGTTTCGGGTGATAGGGGGGGGGTCGGTATACAGCACCCTATATTACCTTTAGGGGGGAACAGGGAGGCATTGCGCAAAGACACCTGGTGTTACGCCAATGCGTAAGCGAACAAGCAGGAAGCGGGGAAGCAGACGAATGGAGCCGTAAATACGAGTAAATCGGGTTTATTCGGACGAATGGAGAACAGCACAGTACGTACGTTAATGACAGATCTGGGAAGCAGCGGTAGACGTGGACTAATATATACTAAACCAGGGTTCTTCAACTCTGGACCTCGATTCCAAATCCAGGCCATGTTTTCAGTTCTCCCAGGTAGTTGTTTAATAATTACTGATTCTGATTAGTCAGAGGCTTCACACCTGACTGACAGGTAAAGGAAGGCTGGAAAACCAGCAGTGCTTGGACCTCGAGGACCGTGAGTTGAATAATCCTGCACCAAACAGACCAAACCTAACATCAAACTGCTGGGAACAATCAGGGTAATACATGTGGGTAATGAGGGGGCGTGGCACACATGAGGATCAGACGAGCCGGGCGCGACAACACCCCCCCCCCCCCCCCGCATTCCGGGCACGCCTCAGGGGAGGCGACGGACGAGAAGAGACCGGGGACACGGGACCTGAAAAACAAGAGCAAACATCAATGAGGGACCGGGAACAGAACAGAAACACAGAACAAGCACAGGGGCAGAAACCAAGACAGAATCTGACCAAGGACAGGAAACGCAGACAGGCACACAAGAAAGGGTGAGACAGAGGGCACAGAGAACTGAGGCACTACAGGGGGACGAGGAGCAGAGACAGGCGGGACACAGGGACGAGGAGCAAACGGACGAGGCCAAACAAGAACGGACGGGGGACAAAGGGGAGCCCGAGGGAGCCAAGGCGGGCGATGGACGGCGGCCGGAGGGGCCGCAGACGACAGGGAGGCAGGAGCAGGAGGGGACCACGACGGGGGCAAGGAGACAAGCCGAGGATCAGACGAAGGGGACGAGGAGGGAGTCGGAGGGGGCACTGGCGAAGGCAAGGAGGGGGGGGAAGCTGCAGCAAGCGACGGCGCAGGCACAGCTGGCAAAGGCGCCGTCCATTGACGCGCCGGAGCAGGGGAACCCGCAGGTGACCGACGAGGAGTCAGAGGTGGGACCGAGGCCAGGCGACGAGGCGTCGGAGGGGGACCTGCAGGCGACTGGCGACCTGGAGCCGCAGGACCCACAGGCACTCCCCGAGCCCCAGCCAAGGCAAGCGAGGGTGAGCCAGGGGGCAGGGCGTGCGGGACGCACACTCGTGCGTCAACTCTGTGGCAATAATGTTGGAAGTGTACCTTGCTAGCTGCAGGATTGGGATGGATTCTCCCTGGTATCTGGCGGGGGAAGAAGTAGTGGAGAAAGAGACAGCCCCCAATACCGTCGGCTTGTCCGTGGCTCTCCGGCTTCTTCTCTTCTTCCTATGGCTTGTTTTTGGGGTCTTGTGTAGTTCGGTCAGCGAGGCTACCGGCAGACTGCTGTCTTGAGCGACTTGCTGCTCATTCGCCACTGCTGCCCGACCCCGGAGCTGTCGCAAGTTAAGCCGTACCTCCTCGGCTAGGAATGTGTCTTTAGACGGGGAAATCCTTCGCAGGATATCCCCCGTATGGATCGCCAGGGCTCGAGCCTCGGGGTCCTCCTGGACCTCTGGCTGCTGTAGCCAGTATACAGCCTCACTCACTAGTGCGCTGTATTCTGCCTCCGTCAGTGGAGGCGTCTTGTTGTGGAGATCTGTCATTCTGTTACGCCGATGCGTAAGTGAACAAGCAGGAAGCGGGGAAGCAGACGAATGGAGCCGTAAATACGAGTAAATTGGGTTTATTCGGACGAACGGAGAACAGCACAGGACGTACGTTAATGACAGATCTGGGAAACAGCGGTAGACGTGGACTGATATACACTAAACAGACCAAAACTAACATCAAACAGCTGGGAACAATCAGGGTAGTACATGTGGGTAATCAGGGGGCGTGGCACACACGAGGATCGGACGAGCCGGGCATGACACCTGGGACCCGGACGCCCATTGTATTATATTATCGCAAGCAGCATCACTCGGACAAAAGGGGGAATTGGAGTACATATTGCCTGCGGGGGAAGGGGTGAGCCTGGCCAGCTTACCCCCTGCCTGCACGCAACACTAAGGCCCAATCCCATTTCTCCTCCCTTAGCCCTACCACTAGATTTCGAGGGCCCTCCCTTCCGAAGTTGACTTCACAGTCCGTAGCCACAAGGGGTAGGGCTTGAAATCTTTATCTAGGAATCGGGGCACCACTCACTTACGTCATCAGCAGTCGATACGTTTCACACCTGCGACTTTGCATTTGTTTGTAACAATGCAGGCTCAAGGTATGGCGTTGTCGACTGCGTGCATTTTAATCATCATACTCTGTTTGATGAAAACTCGCAGAAGACGTCTGTGACGCCTGCTAACGCTTGTGGATTTTTATGAGATATCGTTTAAAAACGACTCGTGTTTGTGTCAGCTAGAGTGCCTGGCTAAAGCTTTACCTGTCGCTTTACCTGTGTCACAATGTTCATAATATAATGTACCTAATTTTCATTGCTTAATGTATTTGGCATACTATTTCCTTTTATAAATGTGACTTTCTGTGTATGTACACAGCGACTAACATTAGAATAAACATTATTTTATGTACCGTTTAGCAAATGCTATCCAAACGCCGCATGCTTAAATATAGTGCATCGCGGTACAATATAATTTTTTTTTACCTCAACTTTTTTAAAAGTACATGTGCTATATGTCACGCCCACAGGGGCGGGGCCAGACAGGTGCACTGCATTAGAGAACAATTAACCCCTTTAAAAGAAGAACAAGCCCAAGAAGCACTCGCGAAGTATTGCACTTATGTCGCAAAGCTTTACTGAGCAATTCTCCTATCTTCTGTTTACGTGCCTGCCCTCGCCTTACCTGTCTGCCCCGTGTTCGTTCCTTACCTCTTTGCCTTCCTTCCTCAGTCCAGATCCCGTACCTGACCCACCTGTCCCGCGGAGCCCAGCTTCTCCTGTTCATCCCTCCCTGTGTGTTCCAGTCTTGTGCCTCTTCGTCGGACGGATCTTCCTGGTAATGACCTCTGCTTCTGGACTGCGACTACGAGTACTGCACGCCTCTCCCTGGCTTACCTGTCAAACTCCTCAAACGGGGCACTCGCCCCAGTCCCTCGCTCGCGATCCCATCAGGATGATTTCTCTCACGTGGAAATCAGAACGGTTCTGGATATGGCACACATCCATGTCTTCCGTTTGCATCCGGTGGCGTTCTGTGTCCAGTTTCTACTCTTCTGGTTAGTAGTCAGGTAAATTATTGGAAGGATTTTCATTCTAGTTCAGTACTCATGGGCAGCCAAGTACGCTGCTTCAGTCTCTCTAGATAGTCATGCCATGCCGCAGAGCGTGCAGCACTATTATGATCAGGCCGGCCTTCTCACGTATAATGGATGTCACACATGACGACTCAGCGCGTTCTACCTTCTGTATTATACTTGAGGAATAAGGGTCAGAATGCTCTCATGTTCTAAAAAGAAGTGGGGAGGGTTCTAAAAAGAAAGGGGGGGGGGGGGTTGTGGTGTTCTCTACCCATCAGTCCTCGTGAGCTACCTCTGCAATGGCCATGTAAACTGTCATGTGAACTCTAATTGTTAAATTTTTCTAATTGTCATGTTGCTTCAATATTCAATGAAATTCTGTAGGGGTGAGCATAGCCGAGTCAAAAAATCTGTATTTGTATATGTATACATTTATATGTATCATTTCATTGATGTTCATCGTGTTGTGTGGTGCTAATGGGCCCCTCTGGCTTTGTGGGTGGGGCCATGGTGAGCTCCGTTTGTCCCTTCTGTTCAGCGGCACCGCAGTTGTGAAAACTAGAAAGCGGGGTATGTACCTTACTCTTTTGGCAGCATTTAACTATATTTACACCGATCAGCCATAACATTAAAACCACCTGCCTAATATTATGAGCACCCCTCATACCACTGAAACAGCTCTGACCCGTCGAGGTATGGACTCCACAAGACCTCTGAAGATGTCCTGTGGTATCTGGCACCAAGGCATTAGCAGCAGATCCTGTAAAGTCCTCTAAGTTTTGAGGTGGGGTCTCCATGCATCGGACTTCTTTGTCCAACATATCGCATTGAGATCTGTGGAATATGGAGGTCAAGTCAACACCTTAAACTCTTTTTCATGCTCCTCAAACCATTCCTGAACAGTTTTTGAAGTGTGGCAGGCTGCATTATCCTGCTGGAAGAGGCCACTGCCATCATGGAATACTGTTACCATGAAGGGGTGTACTTGGTCTGCAACAATGTTTAGGTAGACGTTATGTCCATCCATCCATCCATTACCTACCGCTTGTCTGGGGTTCGGGTCGCGGGGGTAGCAGCTTCAGGAGAGATACCCAGACCTCCCTCTCCCCAGCTACCTCTACCAGCTCCTCGGGGAGGACACCAAGGCGTTCCCAGGCCAGCCGAGAGATATAATCCCTCCAGCGAGTCCTGGGTCTGCCCCGGGGCCTCCTCCCTGTAGGACATGCACGGAAAACCTCTCCGGGTAGCCGCCCAGGAGGCATCCAAACCAGATGTCCAAACCACTTCAACTGTCTCCTTTTGATGTGGAGAAGCAGCGGTTCTACTCTGAGGCCCTCCCGGATATCTGAACTTCTCACCCTATCCCTAAGGGAGAGCCCAGACACCCTGCAGAGAAACCTCATTTCGGCCACCTGTATTCGCAATCTCATTCTTTCGGTTATTACCCTTTGCTCATGACAATAGGTAAGGGTATGGACGAAGATGGACCAATAGATCGAGAGCTTTGCTTTCCGACTAACGGAAAGCAACGAACTGGTTAAGCCACGACGAACTGCTTAAGCACCTGCAAAACTGTAGACGCTGCTCCGATTCGTCTGTCCAGCTCCCGATCTTGCCTACCCTCACTCGTGAACAAGACCCTGAGATACTTGAACTCCTCCACTTGAGGCAGTACCTCTTCCCTGACTTGAAGAGGGCAATCCACCCATTTCTGGCTGAGAACCATGGTCTCGGGATTGGAGGTGCTAATCCTCATCCCCGCCGCTTTGCACTCGGCTGTGAACCGCCCCAGAGCACACTGGAGATCCCCAGCAGATGAAGCCAACAGGACGACATCGTCCGCAAAAAGCAGCGAGGCAATCCTGAGGCCACCAAACTGGACACCCTCAACACCCTGGCTGCGGCTAGAAATCCTGTCCATAAATATTATAAACAGGACCGATGACAAAGGGCAGCCCTGGCGGAGCCCAACCCGCACCGGGAACACGTCTGACTTATTACCGGCAATGCGGACCATGCTTCTGCTCCGTTCATACAGGGCCCGAATCGCCCACAACAGTGGACCCTGGACCCCATACTCCTGAAGCAACCCCCACAGAGCACCTCGGGGAATCTGGTCATAAGCCTTTTCCAAATCCACAAAACACATGTAGACTGCATAGGCAAACTCCCAGGCCCCCTCCAGGACCCTTGCAAGGGTATAAAGCTGGTCCAGTGTTCCATGGCCAGGACGAAAATCGCATTGTTCCTCCTGAATCCGAGATTCGACTATCGATCTCACCCTCCTCTCCAGTACCTCAGAATAGACTTTCCCAGGAAGGCTGAGAAGTGTGATCCCCCTGTAGTTGGAACACACCCTCCGGTCCCCTTTCTTAAATAAGGGGACCACCACCCCGGTCTGCCAATCCAGGGGCACTGTCCCTGACCTCCACACACTGTTGAGAAGGCGTGTCAGCCACAACAGCCCCACAACATCCAGAGCCTTTAGGTACTCCGGGCGGATCTTGTCCACCCCCGGGGCCCGGCCACCACGTAGCTCTTTAACCACCCTGGCCACCTCAGCCCCAGTGATAGGCAAGCCCCCCCCCAGCACCCTTGGGCTCTGTGCCCTCAGATGTCTCAAAGGCAGTGTGCGTAGATGTATCTGAGGCAGGGTTGAGGTTGTATTCCTTCCTGGGGGGTGATGTCCCCAGGTGAGGTCAACAGCACCCCCTCCCCACTATAAATAGTAGGAACCAGGAGCTGCTTCCCCCTCCTGATATTCTGGATGGTTTGCCAGAACCTTTTTGAGGCCGACCGAAAGTCACTTACCATGGCCTCACCGAACTCTTCCCACCCCTGTGTTTTTGCTTCTGCAACCGCCTGAGCCGCGTTCCACCTGGCCTGCCAGTACCCGTCAGCTGCCTCCTTGACAGCCCCCCTCACCTCTGGTGTCCACCATCAGGTATGGGGGTTATCGCCACGATTGGCACCGACCACCCTGCAGCCACAGCTCCGTATGGCCGCTTCCACAATGGACTCAATGTCCCCAACCTCTCCCGGTATGCAGTTGGAATTCTGCGGGAGGTGCGAGTTAAAGCTCAGGCGAACAGGAGCCTCTGCCAGATGTTCCCAGCAGACCCTCACTATGCGCTTTGGCCTACCAGCTCTGACTGGCTTCCTCCCCCGCCACCTGAGCCAACTCACCACCAGGTGGTGATCAGTTGACAGCTCTGCCCCTCTCTTTACCGTAGTGTCCAAGATGGAACGCCGCAGATCAGATAATACGATTATTAAATTGATCATCGACCTGTAGCCCCGAGCATGTTCGTACCATGTCCACTTATGGACACCCTTTTGCTCGAACATGGTGTTTGTTATGGACAAACCATGCATTGCACAGAAGTCCAATAACACAACACCACTCGGGTTCTGATCAGGGAGACCGTTCCTCCCAATCACCCCTCTCCAGGTCACACTGTCATTGCCCACGTGTTGAAGTCGCCCAGCAAAACGATGGAATCCCCCCGCGGCGCGCCAAATAGCATACCGCTAAGGGAATCCAAGAAGGCCAGGTACTCTGAACTGTCATTCGGTGCATAAGCGCAGATGACAGTCAGAGACCTATCCCCGACACGAAGGCGCAGGGAGACAGCCCTCTCGTTCACTGGGGAAAACTCCGTTGTTAATGCACCGAGCTGTGGGGCTACCAGTAGCCCCACCCCAGCCCGGCGTCGCTCACCTGCCGCAACTCCAGAAGAAAAGAGCGTCCAGCCCTTCTCTATGAGATTGGTTCCGGAACCCATGCTATGCGTTAAGGTGAGCCCGACTATATCTAGTCGATATCTCTCAACCTCACGCACAAGCTCAGGCTCCTTCCCCACCAGTGAGGTGACATTCCATGTCCCGAAAGCCAGTTTTGTCAGCCGGGGATCGGACCGCCAGGGCCTCCCTTGGCCGCCACCCGATCCACAATGCACCGAACCCCTGACATTCCCCTTGCGGGTGGTGGGCCCACCTGGGGACAGTCCCGCATGCCTCTTTCGGGCCAAGGCCCGGCCACCAGGCACTCGCCAATGGGCCCCTCCCCCAGGCCTGGCTCCAGGGTGGGGCCCCGGTGACCCTAGTCCGGGTGAGGGAAACCACCATTTTGCTGAAACTGCGGAGACTCTGCAAGTGGATTCCTTACACAACTAAGTGAAACAAAACCAGATGGTTTAGACGATATGTGTCAAAGTAAAATCCACAAGAATGCCGGAACCCAAGGTTTCCCAGCAGAACATTGCCCAGAGCATCACACTGCTTTTGTCGGCTTGCCTTTTTCCCATAGTGCATCCTGGTGCCATCCTGACGCACATGTACCTGACCGTCCACATGATGTAACAGAAAACGTGACTCATCAGATCAGGCCACCTTATTTACTTCACCAGTCAGTACATTAAATGTTATGGCTGATCAATGTATATTTTCTTAATTAACAAGTGTTTTTTGGATTGTATATTTCAGAAACTTTCCATTTTTACAAGAGTGACGATATACAAATATATGAAGGTAAAAGTTGCTTATATGGGTAAAATATAAAAAATAAAATATTCAGACCTTAATCTGTTTTTATTTTAACTTTTCTTGCATGATAAACATGTACTTTTTGTTAGGGTTAGGGTTAGGGTTAGGGTCTAGTGTTCGTGTGTGGTGAAGCTGTGTTGTGGAAACATTCACATATGATTTATGTCTGGTTTTGTTTCACTTAGTTGTGTAAGGAATCCACTTGCAGAGTCTCCGCAGTTTCAGCAAAATGGTGGTTTATTGAACAGTAAAAAACAATATAATGCAATACAGTGTAGACATACACCGGGTACTGAAAGGCTGCTCAAATACAAATTAAGGGCAGTTATTCACCTCCCTTTATACCCCAAAAGACCCTCCCCAACAAGGTGCTGTGTGTAGGTATTGTGAGTGAATTTACATATAAAGAGTGACCCCCTGGCCTGTGAGGAGCCTGGGGCAGGGATGGGGCAGGACAGGGTGGAGACTTTCTGATCATTGTAATTCAGTTATCTTCCTTATCACCCTAGTGGTGCCGACCAGAACCCCCATTCTCTCCCTGACTTCCCCTATGATCATAAATTGCTAACACTGTCTGTATCCAAATAATCAACCAAGAACCTTGGGGCATCTTTACTGCTTTTCCTTACAGTTTTGAACGACGTAATGACACGCTCATATTAACTGATGCTGCTCTATGCGCAGCACGTCATGTACTGTATGAGTTACTTACAAATGTAATGCTTTGTAAAGTGCATTGTAAGAATATCATAATAAATAAATATTCATTTATTTTATATAAATAAAAGACATGTGAGAACCTGAAAGTTGGTGTCCGCGCATATGCTGCGGCTGTTGTGGGGTCATTCACATACAAAAGACCTTCCCTGTGGTAAATGCTGTACAACGGCGGAGGAAGATAGAAGAGCGTTACACCTGCATTTGACGCCGCACACGATGATTCATAGCTGTGCAATCACCTAACCACTCCCAAAGACCACCTGCCTGTCACGGGCTATGAATTAATCGCATAGGGTAGGGGCCACACAGCCCCAGGCAGATGCATATCAGCAATCTATTTATGGCAAATTTGGTTCTAAGATAATATCCTCCCGTATTCCGGTTCTGCGTCATAGGGGAAGTGGGGAAATGGCACATTACTGCTGTGTGTGTGCGTCACCAGGAGCAGCGCGCACCTGCGTCAGGCTTCAGGCCGGGGGTTTCTGATTGGATGGCAGGATGATGTCAGAGCTGCTGCTATTCAGGGCTCATGATCACCCCCTCCCCAACCCCCCAGGGAGCCAGAGCAC